CACACACACACACTGACACACAGACACACTCACACTCACTCTCACACACACACACACTGACACAGACACACGCAGGACCGCTGGTAGCTCGGGCTCAGTGTGCTCTGCAGGGCCTGACCCAGACGTTCACACCATGGGCAAAAGAGCCACTGAGTTCTGCATTGGGTTTATTACACAGGGACAGGGCTCCATAATAATAAGAATAATCACCATCACTCTCTCCTCTCCACTCCTTCCCCATCCCTCCATCGCCCTGTCGTCTGTCTGCCCCTTCCTGAGCCTGTCCCTCTCCCTCGGGGACAGCCCTGCTCCAGGGACACGGAGAGATCTGTCTGCTGTGAAAGACAAGGAGGCCGAGAGAGAGAGACTGCAGCAGTTTCCGTGGCAACGGTATCCGACCGGCGATTGGAGGCAGGGGTGGGAGTTGCCAGGCAACAGTGAGGCAGCAAGGCTCTGTTCTCCCTGACACACAAAGAGAAAGAGAACCCCCCCCCACACACACACAGTGAGACCCTCTCTCCCTCCCGGTCAGTGTTCACCCCCCAACACTCTCTGTACCCCCTCTCATCTTTACTCAAAGAGCGGCGGGAGAGTGGAACAAGCTGCCCGGCCATGTGGTTGAATCCGACACCCCGGCTCCTCTCACCACACGGCTGCATGAGATCCTCGGATCAATTAGTTTCTAATTTCCAAACGAGCTGAACGTTTGTGACCAGGAATTCTTCTCCTGTTCCCTCCTCCCCTCCTCTGTTCCAGTTCTTCCCTCCCAGCTCTCCTTTCCGAACCCCATCCTGCTATCCTCCTGTTTCCCTGTGCTCCCCAGTAATCCGGTTATTCCTGTCAGAGCTGCAGTTCTCCCGCCCCCCCCTCCAGCTGGCTGGCCAATGGTACGGCCCAGGCTGCAGATTGCTATGGCACACCCCCCCAGTCCGGCAGATACCACTGACGGCAGCGGGGGGAGGGCAGTGCAGTGGGTAAGGTTTGCTCTGCGCTGTGCGGAGCTCCAGCGATCCAGACGGGAACATCCTGACCGGAGGCAGGGCGTGGTCGAGCTCTAGGGATCCGAACGCCCCCCCCCCTCCTGGAGCCGAGAACAGAGACAGGGAGCGAGGAGGAGCACAGGAGAGAGGAGAAAGGAGAGAGGAGAGGAAGACAAGGGCAGGTCCCCCAGCGCAGAGGAAGACAGCCAGAGAGACAGGCGGAGAGGAGGAGGACAAAGACAGGCCTGTACAAGCCATCACACCAGAGCCCCTGGACACAGGTCTGGTCAGATCTGTCCGTCGCCTGTCTGTCTGTCATCTTCCTGTCCATCACCTGCCTGTCTGTCATCACCTGCCTGTCTGTCCATTATCTGCCTGCCTGTCATCACCTGCCTGTCTGTCCGTTATCTGCCTGTCTGTCATCACCTGCCTGTCTGTCCTTTATCTGTCTGTCATCACCTGCCTGTCTGTCCATCATCTGCCTGTCTGTCATCACCTGCCCGTCTGTCCTTTATCTGTCTGTCATCACCTGCCTGCCTGTCTGTCATCACCTGCCCGTCTGTCCTTTATCTGTCTGTCATGACCTGCCTGCCTGTCCATTATCTGTGTGTGTGTGTATACAGTTTTATGTATTTAGACAGGTGTGTGTATATATGCAGGTGTATGTGTATAGACAGATGTATGTACTGTATATATGCAGGTGTGCGTGTGTATAGACAGATGTATGTACTGTATATATGCAGGTGTATGTGTATAGACAGATGTATGTACTGTATATATGCAGGTGTATGTGTATAGACAGATGTATGTACTGTATATATGCAGGTGCATGTGTATAGACAGATGTATGTACTGTATATATGCAGGTGTATGTGTATAGACAGATGTATGTACTGTATATAGACAGGTGTATGTGTATAGGTGTGTGTATGCAAGTTTATGTATAGAGACAGGTGTGTGGACAGCAGTGTTCCCCTGCACTCTGCTGTCTGTTCCTCATTGTCAGTAAATGTCAGCAACATGAGGAAGAGGCCTATCCAGACTGTTCAGCAGTTCAGCTGCTAATTTTCTCAGGTCGAAAACATCTCATCCAGCCATGTCCTGAATGAGGTCAGGGTAATAGCTTAGGCAACATAGCTGGGCAGCTTGTTCCAGACTCCCACCACCCTTTGTGTAAACAAGGGCCTCCTGACCTGTGTCTTTCCCGGGAGCCAGACGGGAGGCGCTCAGCTCTCCCCCAGCCTCTGCGACTCTCCCTCTCAGACTCCTCTGCCTGCAGCTCTGCGGTGAGCTTTTCTGGGTCAGGAGGCACTAAGCAGCTGGGAACACAGAGCCATTATTGGAAGAGAGGTCCCTGGAGACAGGAGATTGCAGAAACAGGAGAGAGAAGGAGGGAGAGAATCAGAGGCACATCTCCGTAACTCCCTCTCTCCTCCTCTCCAGCGAGGAGCTATGGGAGTGCTGGTCAGGCGTGCACCGAGTCCAATTGAAATTCCGAGAGCTGTGCTGGCATGACAGATGAATTACAGTGCTGGCAGAGCAGATGATTAACTCGTGTACAGGCATCTGCAGTACAAACATGTCTTCTGTCCACCCCTCCCACCTCAGGATGAAGGGAGACACCCCCCTCAACAGCACCATGAGTATCGGTCAGGCCCGCAAGCTGGTGGAGCAGCTGAAGATCGAGGCCAGCATGTGCCGGATCAAGGTCAGTGCAGAGCAGCACAGAGCCGTACCTGCCTGTATCTCAAACCACTGACCCCCTGGACACCCCAGTGCAGTGTGACCCCGAGGACTGACCCCACTGGACACCCCAGTGCAGTGTGACTCCCAGCCCTGACCCCACTGGACACCCCAGTGCAGTGTGACCCCCCAGCCCTGACCCCACTGGACACCCCAGGGCAGTGTGACCCCCAGCCCTGACCCCACTGGACACCCCGGTGCAGTGTGACTCCCAGCCCTGACCCCACTGGACACCTCAGTTCAGTGTGACCACCAGCGCTGACCCCACTGGACACCCCAGGGCAGTGTGACCCCCAGCCCAGACCCCGCTGGACACCCTAGTGAGTGGGTATTGACAAAGCCAGTGTGAGAGGCCGGTCAGAGCTGCGCGGTCAAGCGTGGTCAAGCGTGCGGTCAGCAGGATGTCCTCTCTCCCCGCTCCCCGCAGGTCTCGAAGGCGGCGGCTGACCTCATGGCCTACTGCGACGCCCACGCCTGCGAGGACCCCCTGATCACCCCTGTGCCCACCTCCGAGAACCCCTTCCGGGAGAAGAAGTTCTTCTGCGCCCTGCTGTGAGCGGAGGCAGCTGGGGGGGGGTTTGGGGAGGGGGGGGGGGG